TATGTTTCCAGGTTTATAAAGGGGTGTATCCTAAAATATTTTGTTATATACAGGGTGTCACAAAAAAATTATGGTAAAGTTAGTTTTTTTTAAATTATTTTACATCATTCTATATACATTATTCTATATATGGTATTTTTTATGGCGTCTCCAAAATCGGAATATTTAAAAATTTTAAAATTCAATTCTCAATTTTTTAAATTCAACATTCTGTATATTATTTTTCTGGCAGATACAGAATTAAAAAGTGAACATTTTTTTATTTAAAGCGTTTCTAAATTTTTAACGGTTTCGCAGATATTCGCAGTATTATATTACGCAGTATGCTCTTTCAACAGTAAATTTTTATCAAAGTCACCTAATATGATCTTTGTCTGATATTTTATCGTTGAAAATCCTATATGTAATGAAATACAGAAAATATTTGCAAAACGGCTAAAAATTTAAGAACACTTTAAATACAAAAAATGTTCACCGTTTAATTCTACATCTGAAAGAAAAATAATATACAAGATATTGCATTTAAAAAAAAATGAGATACCACATTAAATTTTAAATATTACGATTTTGGTGACGCCATAAAAAATATCCTGTATACGATAAAGTAAATTTTTCTACATGGATTTATTCTGGTATCCCCATGTTTAAGAAAACATAGCTAAGTATTATTAAAATTATATTCACTCTAGTTTTTTACCACTTTTCGTATATAGATAATGTTTTTAACCTAAGTTTTAGTAAATAAGAAATAGAATGGCAACACCGCAGTATGCTTTAAATACAGTGCAGAATTTATGCCGAATCCAGTTATCTACAGAAAATTAAACTTGTTTTAAATCAAAAAAAAGTTGTAGAAAATCTCTGAAATAGATAATATAAAAATATGTAATTGTATATTTTTTCCGCATTTCTTCCCAACAGAAGATTTTCAGATACAGAAGAATTGTTACCTACACGAAATATGAAAATATTCTGTTTTTAAGCAAGTTTTTACTCGATGATCAATTTTTTTTAATTTTATTGTGAACTCATATTTTCCTAAATACATATCTGTGAAACTATAGCGAGTGCCACGACTATACTTTGACTAGTTAATATACCACGACTATACAGCTACGTCAGTGGTAACGGAAGGCGAGAACAAGGTCATATAGAGTGGCAGAAAAAGAACAAAGGATTTGACAAGGAATAAAACTAGTAGTTTTCTTATACTATGCCGCCACTTTCAAAATATTTCACAAACTTTCTTATTGGGCTTTTGCACTAATATCATTAAACGTTTTTTTTTTTAATGCCTGACCTGTGTCAATTTTCGTGTTGCAATATTGGCAGTACTAATAATGATAACGCATTCACAAAATGAAATAAAAATTTCCTATGTTCCTATGGTAATGCTTATTTTTGTTCCAAATGCCAATAAGTCTTTGATGTAATATCAATGTTTGTTTTTCGTAATTAAAAGTTCACAAATTTCGCATAGATATTTGCAATCGCTAATAATTACATATAAAAATGCGTGCATTTTCTTTACCTTCTAACGTACGAATAAAAAATCGCACAGTTTTCGGTGTGATTTGTTTACAGTAGGTACATAGTATACACTGTGTCCGTAAAGTAGCGGATAAATTCATTTAAAATTCAACTGTTTTTTTTTTGGAAAAACCCTTGGACACGTCTGTTAAAGATTTAAAGTAAACTGCAGCAACCTCACATTCATTTGTGCACCAGATTGACGTTGCCGCGCAACGACAGGAGAACCAAGATGGCCGAGTCCGAGTAATTGTCACATAGTTGTCACTTAGGAGGCTCTACGTTAATTATATGTTTTTTTTGCAAATAAACGACGATAAGAGAAAATAGTAGGTTTATTATTAAACCCCGAACAACGTCAATGCTCTGAGTCAAAATTTGTCAAAACTAATTTGCATTTATAGAGGGTGGCCCAAGAAAAGATATCACGTGGTACTTCAATTTTTTTTAAATGGAAAGCCCTGTATATTTTGATGAATATCGATAAAGCTCATTGAGACGAATTCAATGATATTAGATAGGTCTATCTTGAATGGTTGCTAAGAAACAAATTTTGTTGATTGCTAAGAAAAAAACAAAACGTCAGATTGACAATCTAATAACATCAACTTGTAGAGCAGGAAAAGTAGCAATGGGTATGTGAAATTTGCATTGTCGCATATCTTCTCAAATAAAATGAGAAAAAAATAAGATTGAAACCCGGAAAATTCGGTGTTTCCCAAATATCTTCGGATTTTTAAAAATTTTGAAACATCATGTTGCAGGATTCAACAGGGCGCAACATTTCTCTAATTTAATCATCTTTGTAAATCTTCTGGTTTATGAGATCCCTATAGTGTGCAATGCACACCGTGCATTCTTATATGGGACACCGTGAATGTTACGTAATTTACTGCGTCTTAATATCTGTGTTTTTGTCTATTTTACATATACATAGTGGTCAAGGGTAAAAGAAATTTACCTAACTCCTAAATAGGTTTTTGCTTTCGTTTTCATACGTCCTCGTCCCTCCAGGTGGCGCATAAGCCCAGGAGTAAATAGTCGCCCATATGGCGCATATTCAAATTAATTGTTTTATATAAAACACTTATAAAATATTAACAAAACGGTTAGTATCTATGTTGATTAATTGCTCCGGCTGCAACCGTTATATAAATATGTGGTAGATGCGGCAACAACAGAACTAATTTGTGTTTAGTGCAACATATCTGTTTCAAAAACCTAACCTCATTATTATTCTATTTAGGATATTTTAACGGACAGCTATTTGAAGCTTAAAAGTTCTAGGGTCTTGAGGAAGCATATTAGAAAAGCGATCATTTATATTATATTTTTATATAAAGCCCTTAGCGCCACATGTAGTACATTAAAAGACACAGCCCACGTTCTAATATTGTTTACAAGCTTTTTGATCTTATCTGCAGTGACTATATCATCAGAATTTTCCTCATCCGCACCCAATTCATCTAGTTCTATTTCCCAGTTAATTAGTTTTCTTCGAGATTTCTCTGCTGAACCTCGTTAATAAAAGCATCATTTCCAGTGGAACTACTTGGTTCATCAGCAATTGAAGAGAAAACGTTTTGTTCACTTGAGTCTTCTTCCTTTACAGAGAGATCAACTGTTTCACGAACTTCGGTTGCTAGGATATTTTGGTAGCACTTTTTTGCCTTCTGTAAAAGGCACCACTGCTTTTATGTTTTTTATTATTTTTAATAATTTGAGATTTTGATATGATAAAGCTGTACTATATTAGGACATAATCAAAGTAGAATGTAATGGCGTGCAAAAATGTTTATACGTTTTATAAATGTATTATCAAATGCTTTTGTATCATCAGAATTATTTTTTTTTGTTTTCTAATTATTCCATTAGGCTTTTATTATGACAGTGTTTGTATTAATTATATAACCATTTTTTAAAGGTATTGTCTGAGTAAAATATGCTGTTGTCGGCAATAATATCAGAAAGAAAACTTTTATAAAATAATTTTATAATTAATCTTGCATGACTTTAATAAAACAATTTTATATATGTTCGCAAACGAATGGCCTAGTGCTGAGTAACAGCGGTACAAATTTATTATAAAACAAATTTGTCCGGTAAGGTAAAATGTCGTATAAAATACATTGTATAAACGTTTATAAAACAGAATTAAAATTTGTCGTAAGACTGTTCCGTATTTTTGCTTTAAGAACGTTCTTACGACTAACTTATAAAGCAAAATCATTTTAAAAACTAAAATATTTCACTTGCAATATTAATACAACAAAATATGGTTTTTGAAGAGAAGTAATAAAGTAATTATAAAACAGAATAGTACCGAAAGTCAAAAATTATAAAATAAGTGTGCTAGTTGGGCTCCTTCTTAAAATTATCTCTCATCCTTCCATCTGGGACAATAGAATTCATGTTCAACATCATCTATTTAACCACAAAATAAACATGACTCAAAGCTTGCCTGCCGCATCTTATAGAGGTATTTTCGGAAGCACCCGTGTCCAGACAGCATTTGTGTCAGTCCATTTCACCATATGGTCTGTCAATCCATTTTTCGATGTTGGGTATAAGTCTCCAGGTCCATCTTCCATACTTTTAATTTTATCCCATTGATCCTGCCACTTCTCCATCACAGTTTTCCTGGCTATTTGTTTGAGCTCTCCCTTGTAATCTATCCGCTTGTTCATTGTTCGATCTAATAAGTGGATAGGAGGGATGCCCGCAATGACACCAACTGTCTCAGTAGATACAGTTCTGTAAGCGCTACAAACTCTAAATACATAATTTGCGCTGCAGAGCTGTTATCTTTCACTTTTTTTTATTTTGTCCATTGCTTTGCGATACCGGAGCTGCATATAACAATTGTGAATGTATTACGCTTACAATAATTCTACGCTTTGATGCCAGTGATTTGATGCCGCTTGACGACCAGCATATTAGTTTACTGTAAAATAATATGCCTCGAATTGCAGATTATTTTTTAATTTTGTGAAGAGCCTGGAATATATTCTGAAGATACCAGAAATGGTCGCTGGTTAAGTCAGATTATATTAGCTCTTAATAATTAATGAAATTGGATTTTTTTATATAGATAGAATATGAAATAAACACTAATTCACCACAATACACCAAAACACTTTATTTTTGCGTGGGACGCGCGAACCGTGTTAGCATCATTAGCAAATGATTAAACCTTTTTAAATTTTTAATCGCCTTTTATATTTTTCATTTTAAGTTTTAATCATTCGATGATGATGGTTTAGCGAAAGGCGCGTCTAGTGCAAAAATAAAGTGTTTTGGTGTATTGTGGTGAATTAGTGTTTTCTTGAAAAGTTAGCCTTGAAATTCCCGTAGATCTTTTTAACTGTCATAGTAATATTGTAATTTAAGTTCATACAGGCTTCGACCTATTATAGTGTACCTACCAATTAACATTATTCAAATCTCATAGTAATTATTTATTGTTTTAGAACCTTCACCACTTTATGACAACAATCATTATCACGAAGAATGCCTACGTTGCAATTCTTGTGGCCTTAACCTGACTGGCCCCAATCAGAAAAGAGCGCGTCGATTTAAGAACCAAATTCTTTGTGACCTACATTTTGCTGACGTAGCTCTCATGGAATGCAGTGATTTCATGCAACAATTACGCAGCTTTAAACCGCAGAGCTTAGGATGTGCGGTAGCTCGCAGGAAGAGTAGTACTACCTTAATTTTCCCTCTACCACCACAAGCGTGTTCTGGTGAGTTAATTTATTTTTTATTTTTTTAAGTTAAGTATTTTTTTTTAATTCAAACGAAATGCATTGCTCTTTATATTACTTTAAGGCTGGACGTACACAGAAAGAACAAACTAGCTTTGTTAAACTCGTTTTTGTCAATTTTGTCTTTAAGGCTGTTGGATTAGCTCTTGCGTAGTTCGGGTAATTTTTTGGAACTAAATCAAGACACTCGATACTCGCTGGATTACAAAAATGTATATTTAAACCTAACAAGTAAATACATTAACTTTTATAACTTTAAACTTGAGAATACAATAACGCAGAGACATCACACAACTAGTCTCTGCCAACAACAAAAATATCCTAACAATCTACATCTTACTATCTATCTTAAAAATACTCTTTTTAGTCTTTTATGACGCCACATCTTATGTCCGACCCTTGCACCGCTGAAGAGAAAGTTTTAGGGCACTTTTGAAATACTCAAGGCCTATAAGTTATAGGCCCAAATCTGAAAATTGTCAAAGGCCATTCAACATACCGCGCCCCTTGAACTCTTTAAAGACCTTAAAGATTCAGTGTGTCACTGTGTGACTATTCGGCAAAATACAGAGCTTTGTAACTGGTCTCTTGTAACTTCCAGTCGGAGTTTGCACAACAGCCACACGCACAATTCCGTCTGAACCAGGAATCAGTTCTTTCACTCGACCGATGTTCCATTTCAATGGAGGTACGTTGTATTCCTTAACAACGACAATGGAGTTGATCTTTAACAATTGTGAAAAACTTTTCTTCCATTTACAGCGTTGCTGAAGCCCAGAAATATATTCTCTCGACCAACGTTTCCACAGATGTTGAACCATGCTTTGACATCTCTTAAAACGCTTCACATATGATTCTGCTGCATTACTTAAATCTTCTTGTGGAGGTAATGTGATTGGCTCTCCAATTAGAAAGTGTGCAGGAGTAATAGGAGTTGGGTCATTTGGATCAGCTGATAATAATGGATAAAGCGGACGGGAGTTAAGGCAAGCCTCGACTTGTGTTAAAATGGTAGTAAATTCTTCAAATGTTAATTTTTCTTCACCAATTACGCATTTGAGATGAAATTTTACAGATTTTACACAAGATTCCCATAAGCCACCAAAATGGGGAGATTTTGGTGGAATAAAGTGCCAATTGCAACCGTCTTGATTAATTTTAGTTAATATGTCCTTATTAGCTTGATTGAGAAACCGCTGAAGCTCATTAGCAGTCCCAACAAAATTGGTACCGTTATCGGAAAAAATATTTAAACATTTACCTCGTCTGGATGCAAATCTATAAAACGATGCTAAAAAAGCTTCAGTACTCAGCTCGCTTACAAGTTCCAGATGTGCAGCCTTTGTGCTACAACATATGAATACACATACGTATGCTTTAGATATTTTAAAGTTCCTAGTTTTACGATCTCTTAAGTTAAAGGGACCGCAAAAATCAATGCCTACGTTTAGAAATGGTCGACTCGGATTTGTCCTAAGATTTGGCAAATCTGCCATTAGGTATTTTATATTTGGTTCTGGGTTTACTTTAAAACACTTTACACATTGATGAATAATGTTTCGTACTGTTCTACGAGCTGATAAAATCCAGTACCTTTCTCCTAAACTAGCTAATACCAGTTGAGGTCCAGCATGTAGTAATCTAATATGTTCATATTTTATAATTAATTTAGTAAAACTGTGGTCTTTTGGTAGCACCGTAGGAAATTTTTTGTTATAATGGTAGTTTGAATTTGACAATCTACCTCCAACTCTTATGATATCTTGATCGTCAATAAAAGGATTTAAACTTAACAAATTACTTTTATTACTAACATGTTTATTTGTTTTTAAACTACGTAAATCATCCGCAAATGTTACCTTTTGTACTAACTTTATGAGCAAGAATTCTGAATTTTTAAGCTCAGATGGAGTTAAAGGTCCACTATTCTTCGTATTAATTTTTAATGTATTATTAATAAATCGAAGCATAAAAGCAAAAACACGTTGTAATTTTAAAAAGCTTAAATACCTATCAAAAAGATCAAAATTTTCTACAATTAAATTTATATTTTTCTTTTGAATCCTTAATTCTATATTACAATCTGTAGGAATGTTATAAACAAAATCAGGATAATTCTCTGATGAAGTTTGCAGCCATTGTGGGCCATTCCACCACAACGTATTTGTTAACAATTTATGTGGTGCAGTACCTCTTCATATCAAATCAGCTGGATTTTCACTCGTGTTTATATAACGCCAGTCTGATTTATCAGTTAGGTCCTGTATTTCGGTCACTCGATTTGCTACAAAGACCTTCCAGGATGTTGGCACAGCTCTAATCGAACCTAAAACAATTTTTGAATCGTTCCAAAGATATATATTTTCAAATGATACATGATGCCAGGAAGTTCTAACCTTGTCCACTAATCTTGCTAGTAGTAACGCTGAACACAACTCTAGCCGTGTTATAGTCATAAACTTTAAAGGTGCAACTCTGGATTTCGAACAAAGCAGATTCACATTGGTGGTACCCAAACTATCAGTTGTCTTAATATATATACATGCCCCATAAGCAGTGGTGGACGCATCAGCAAAACCATGTAATTCAATTTTATGACTGCTATTTCCAACACATCTTGGTATTTCAAACTGATTTAGAACTGTAAGTTCATCGGTAAATTGCTTCCATTCTAAGGAAATATCTGAAGGTAGGCAATCATCCCAAGATATCATAAGTAACCATAATTTTTGAAGAATTACCTTCGCCATAACTATAATTAGTCCAACTAATCCAAGAGGATCATATATTTTAGCAACAGTCGACAGAATATGACGTTTGGTTATTTGGTTTTGTAAATTAATGTTTTTTACATTGATCCTGTTAACAGATCATCTACATAAAAATTGGACAAGATAACATTGCAAGCATCTTGCAGCTCAAATCTGTTGTCATAGACAAGTTGTTGAAGGCACCGAATTACTAAAAATGGTGCTGATGCAGTGCCATATATAACAGTATTTAATTCAAATGTCTCTATAGGCAACGTTGGATCTTCACGCCAAACTATGCGTTGTAATGGTCTATCATCTGTATGGACTAATACCTGGCGATACATTTTAGTAATGTCACCTGCTAAAATATATAAATGAGATCTAAAACGTAAAATGATGCTAATTATGTCGTGTTGTATATTAGGACCAATCATTTTTATGTCATTCGATGAATAACCTGTACTAGTTTTACATGAAGCATCAAACACTGTTCTAAGTTTTGTTGTTACGCTATTATCCTTTAATACAAAATGATGTGGTATGTAGTAACTTTTCTGTGTTTTGTCAGTTACAACCTTTGACATATGATGCAAATATAAGTATTCTCTCATAAATCCTATATATTGTTGTCTCAAATCATCATTTGTTGACAACTTACTTTCTATTGCAATTAACCGCTTAATTGCAGTTTGCTTTGATTCGCCTAAAACATCACGAGGTAGTCTAAGTGGAATCTTAACGACAAATCGGCCATCTGAATGTCGCCGAGTAGTTGACGTGAAGAAATTCACTACCCTTTTTTCTTCTTCGGTGAGTACAACCGACCCTACATATTCTTCGATGTTCCAAAATCTGGTTAAATTGTCGTTAATGTCCTTATCTGACACAAAATTACAGTAATGTTTGTTCAAGAAACAATTTACCTTTGTTTGTGGTAATCTTCCAGATACCACCCATCCTAGAGAAGTATTTTGTAATATAGGCAAATTCCGACCTAACTTAATTTGACCTATTCTTAATAATTCCCAAAATAAATCGGCACCTATTAATAAATCAACCTTGCCTGTTTCATTAAAATTAGGATCTGCTAGTATAATATCATTAGGTATGTTTAGACATTCTACACTAAATGAAATTGAAGATAAATAATCTACTAGTTTAGATATAATTAGGCAAGTCAATTTAGATGCAAACGCACTACTACATGATCTTAAATTAAATTTTGTATGATGTACTATTTTACTTTCGCGATTATTTACACTTGACAAAAAAATATCAGTATTAAATTTGTCTAAATTTAATTTGTTTACAAAGTCTTCACTAATTAAATTAGAAGTAGATCCGGAATCTAATAAAGTTCGACATTTCTGCCACTGACCATTATTGTCTTGAATTTCTACTACAGCCGTACTCAATAAAACAGGGCAATGTACATTAGCATGAGTACACACTTCATTTTGAGAACCTTGATCGGGTACTTTATTTTCTTATTACTTTATTTTCAAAATGATGATTGGAATTAGAATTATTCATATTATTAGAATTATTCTCATTAATTGATTGTTTGCTAGCATTATATCTCACATTTTCACTAGCATGGCTGAAGTTACTAGTAGAAGCCTGTGCTACTTCATAGTGTAGAAGAGTGTGATGACGTTTACCACACGTCTTACATCCATCTTCTGAACAATTTTTATTAAAATGTCCCGATTTTAAGCAATTTGTACACAAATTTTTAACCTTACATTGCTTGTATCGTTCATAAGCATTAAATTTTAAAAATTTACTACAAACATTTACTGAATGATTATTAAAACAAATTTTACATTTTACAACATTATCATTTGAATAAAATGTTTTTTGAGATTTAGTGTTACGAGGTTTCGAGAGAAAGTGTTTCTAAAAGTGTACACTTATTATTTAGAAATGTTAAAAGTTCTTCTAATTTTGGTGACTGGTTTCTATCAGTATTATTTGTTTTCTCCCATTCTCTCCGGGAAACATTATCTAATTTTTTCGAAACCATGTGGATTAATAAGGTGTCCCAGTGCTTTACTGGCTCGCCAGGAACCTCAAGCGCTCTAACGTGTTTATTTATACTATCCAGTAAGCCTCGTATAGCTAAATGGGACTCCTTATTAACCATCGGTAAGCTAAATAGTGCATCAACATGCGTTTTTATAATTAAAGTTTTATTTTCGTATCTGGTTTCTAATAATTTCCATA